TTGAGTCTAGAGCATATCTCTAACGGATACACTCATGTTTAACGAATCGCTCCTAGCTATATGTCCACAATCCACATAATGATTACTTTTCACGTATTTAAAAATTTTTGATAACAATTCATATGTATTAGTTGTATTACTAAATTCTATCACGGTCAAGTAAAAACGAGGTCGAGAAAATCTCCCCATAACTAAATAAACCGTAATAAACTAACTGGAACACTAGTTGGAATTCTTCTTCGCAGTTATACTTTTGTTCTTTCAGTTAGCCTACTAATACAGATGCAATTGGAAATCAACGCATGGACAACTTACCGGCACATACGTTATTTGATTTCATAATTTAGACCAAATATAATAACACTTTAAACATTTCTCTAATATTGGCTGTTTTTAATATTCCTAAACAGGAAATGTTATTAACCTACGGCTATCACTACGTATCTTATGGCAATTTATTAAAATATCCTTATACTGAATCGTTTTACTATTATTATAATCCCACTTTTTTTAGCTCAAATAATCTTTACCTAAATTTTAGTTTTAAGCGTGTTGGGCATTAAACCAGACGTTTTAAAATTGTCACATGCATTTCCCAACCAGATTCTGCCTGCTTCTTTTTGATCTATCTTTCAGGTTATCAATACCCGGAGGATTCTTATTATTTTTGTTAACCTCCGGCGCGCGACAACCTCACTCAAATTGGTATCGAAACAACGTCACGTTGATTCTGGTGGGAGAGTAGTGTAGTGGCATTGCGCCCTAACACGAGACAATATGGAAAATAGACATTCAACATTTAACGCTGGGAAATACCCAACAATGGAGAAGGCGGGAATAATAAATTGAATAAATTGGAGTTGATCGCATGGCATGCCCCGTCCATGCAGGCGTGGTCCCTGCTAAATGTTACGTTATATCTTTTATTCATATTAAATGTATTGTTCCATCTCTAGATTAAGATTGTTCTATATCATGTATTGGTAATCGTTACGACTCAGTGAGTTGGTGTAGATGATGATTTGACTTCCACGTAAGATCTTATGGATTAGGCAGTTACATCATAACAAATCTACAATTTTAGGATTAAGTCTATTATTAGAGCAGTGCTATTATCATAGTAGACCATAATTTTACAGGGTCACTGAATATCGTACAGTTCATCGATCCCCATCAAGGTCAAGGACAGCCAGCACTCATCAGTTAATCGTGCGCCATGGACTGGCCCGTGTGGTGGTGGTCGCACTTTCACTTTTACTTATCTCTCCTAATATATTTTTGTAGTAATGTCCGTTTTGACACACGGTCTTCAAAGCGGCCATCGTACCTTGATACGTCGAAGTGGTAAACCACGTTAAATGGTGACCGCGAGGTGTGACTTCCAAGTTAGCTGTTGGCCACACCACTCCCATATACCTCGAGTGGGCCCTCAATTATTTGACATAGATCATCTACGTTGATGATCTACAGGCGTGACGACCGGTCCACTAATCCTTTGAGTCTGATAAGTCCTGATGCTCTGCTATCTTATGTATAGTTACAGTGAAATGTCACAGTCCTTGCTAAGCCTTCCGTCAGTCAAATTATAACAACACTCCTTCGATTACTTTTTACAAGCACTTTTACTGACTTGTTCGACAGACAATGTTATTCGTACAGTAACAATTCGTCTATTTCTTGGTATTATTCTGGTCACCATCATGTCTGTATGAACGTGCATGCTTGATCACATATGAAAAATTACCCACATATATCTCCCTAGCTTAAATGTTGATCACTTAAAAATTGTTGGATGGATCATTCTCTTTTCTGTGTAATAGTTGCTCTAGTTCTATTGATAGCCTTTGCTTTGCTTACTTGAACCTTGATTCCATTTGACTACGCGTTTTCCAAGTACTCTCATGTTCAACTTTGAGGATTGTGTGGTTAAGACCAATGCCAATACAAGTTTACTATGCGGTAGTTCTCTCCGTCGCACGACCACTAGGAAAAAAGAATATTCGTAGTTTGGTAGTATTTGTTGATAGGTGTCTTCGAAGCATCGCTCATATATTGTGGGTCTGCTGAGAAAGCAGTGCCTAAGTTTGTGATAGGGAACCAGGCCAAGACAGTAAATCACTTGTTGAGTCAGTGATGTTTATCAACCCAGGTAGTTGGGACATATGCCACATATTCAGAATCACTACTTACCTTGACGAGCAATTACTTCTGGAGGAGGAGTTAGCTAGTTGGATGCTATCGGTGGCTAAACCCGTGAATAGCACCAGTCTATGCCGTGACAGTAAATTATGTCCTCTTGAGCCGCATTTCTGATTCTTAGTATTATGCCCCTGACATTAATACTACATCAACAACTCTGGGACTTATCAACACGATTTTATTTTAATGTGCATAGGTTTAAGTTATAAGTTGCGTTTGACTGGCTGTTTAACCGATTAACAAATGACTATCGACAGGGTGAATTTACTCCTTGATATAATACATATTCGAAAATCCACAGCACATTCCATTATGCAAAACCAGAAGAAATTTAATCCATTTCACATACAACTGCTTTTACAAAACAAACAGCACGTGAAAAAAAGTCGCCTGAAACTCTAACAGCCGTAACAAAACCAACGGATCAAACGAAAAAATACTGAACGAGAAATTCCCACTAAGGCTTACAAAGACCTTGACAACGACTATACATATAACACCTTTATAATTGAATAAAACCAACCCATTTAAACCAAAATCCAGAACCGAAGTGGATCGAATATATTTTTGAAAAGCCGTTGATATGTCGAGAAGCCTTTGGTCTTGGCTGGTTAGCAGTCGTAAGTGATGTGTAGGACGACATACACACTCGTGGTCTGGTGAGAATGCTGACCAGGCGACTTCAGCTAGGGTGTGTTCATTAAAACTGTTGAGATCAGTATCATTATCGGAGACATGAAAAACTATGTATATTGGAGGTTTATTTGTTGCTAAAGATGCCACAGGTATTCGGAGTTTGACATTCAGTAACACCTAATATGAATCGTACCCACCAAGTGAAATAAAGAGTCAGGAGCGAGGGGGTTTGAAAATATATTTGATAGACCGTCAATATTTTGAGGATCGACTGATCTAATCTGGCTAACGATTGCAGATGTTGAGCACGGCGTTCCCACTAGTGATCTGATGCGGACGCATGATCGAGCGCTTTCAGCCAGGTGAGTCCGTTAGAATTAATGTGGTCAGCATCTAATGTCGAAGACTTGCAGAGTTATTTATTTTGGAGATTTATTTACCGCTACACCGCTAAAACAAAAGATCAGTATTCGTCCATTATCACTTCTGTATGACGAACCTGCTGACTGCGGTGGACGGATGAACAAGCATCGTTGATCGCAAGAGGAAGGTGGATATCATTTACCTTGACTTCCCTAAAGCTTTTGATAGGGTTAATCACATATGTCTTATCAATAAGCTCAGACAATTGTGTATCAAACCACCTTTGATTGACTGGATCAATTCATATCTGACAAATCGACATTTTAAGGTCAGGGTAAACTTCAACTTTTCATAGGCTATGGAATGTCCTAGTGGGGTCCTTAAGGCTCTGTACTAGGGCCTCTACTCTTCCTGATTTATATAAATGATCTTCCTCAACAGATAACGTCAGACATTGCTTTTCGCTGATGACGTGAAACTTTGGAGAGAGATACGCAACCAAGAGGATATACAGGCACTTCAGGAGGATCTGACTCGACTTCAAAGTTGTGCAGACAACAACGGACTTACCTTTAACACTTCAAAGTGTAAAATAGTCCATCTGCGACACGTCGCAGACTACAGTTACAACATAGGAAACCACTCTCTAGTAGTAGATTTAGGAGTCCTGGTGCCCTACGACTTAAAGTATTACTCCAGCTGTGACAGAAATGCCTTTCGAGCAAACATCGCACTGGTAATATAGGAGCGCATTTTGGTCAGTTTGACGGAAGAACCTGCCACATAATCTTCAATAATTTCATTCGTCCCCATTTAGAGTACGGAAACAGTATTCCCTCCTACACTCCAAAAGGATAAGGACACTCTGAAGCGTATCCAACGGCGAGCCACGAAATCATCTCGGGGACTAAAATTTAAACCTTACGAAAAGCGCCTTCAATCACTTGACCTTTACCCATTAGAGTATAGGCGTCTTAGAGGCGACCTTCTAATGACTTACAGTATCCTTAACACTTCTGTACATCCTCTTAAACACCTACTTAAGCTTAGTCCCAACACTAACCTAACGGGTAACACTGCAGACACAACTTCTACTCCTTAAGAGTTGTTAAATGCTGGAATTCGCTGCCGACTGAGCTAGTCCAAGCGACTTTCCAGGAGTCCTTTAAGAGGCAACTTGATCTATTCTTAAGGACGAAGGATGGTATCTTACTATGGTTCACCAATTTCTTTTTTCTCTTTTATCGTTAATATACCTAAGTTCTTGCCTGAAGGTATTGGTGATCCCCTGCTAATAGACATGGAAGCCTGTTAAGCGAAAGCTTCTTCTATTCCGTCCATAACCATTTGAACCATTTGAACACATTTCTTTGATTTAAAGGTATAGTAGTCCGAAGTTATTGATTTTTTAACGCTATGGTTCTTATTAATGTATATGAAGATTTCAAAAATTAAAATAAATTAGTGGGGCTGTAACTTCCTACCGAGGACCCAAATACATTGAGCAATGGAAAGTTCGCAATTCGTGAACTCATGCGTTACATCTGACTTCGTCTTCTTAATCCTTCCCGAAATTGTGGTTTATGTGAAGCTTAAGAGAATATGACATTTTAGAATTTTACGAAGCCTAACTATCAGAAAAATTATCGTTTTTGACTTTATCAACTTAATACACAATATTCTCCTGAGGTTTGTAACAATTTGCTTTCATATATCACAAAGCTATCCTTGAACATCTTATTGGGGTTAAGCCTAAACATAACATGAAATCTGATTCTTAATGTCTGGTTGGTTAGTAAAAGATGCTACCTTATTTCGACTATCAATTTCGTGTTATCATAATTGGCGATAGTATGGTTGGGAAATCCTCCTTAATGAAAAGTTTCGTAGAAGGGAATTTCACTCCTGTTTCAGATCCCACTATTGGAGTTGATTTTTTCTCACGAACTGTTCGAATTCAAGAGGAGGTCTTCGTTAAGTTGCAATTATGGGATACTGCAGGTCAAGAAAAGTTTAGGTATGTTGTAACGGTAATATCAATTTATACTTTCAGAACAATAACTTCATCTTATTATCGCAATTGTGTTGGTGTTGTAGTTGTGTTCGATCTTACTGACAGAGAGACATTTGACCATGTTGCTGATTGGTATGAAGAAGCTCGTGGTTCAATTAAGTGTTCTGCTCCTGTCTTTATAATAGTTGGTCATAAAGCTGATCGTCGTGATGAAAGACAAGTAAGCTGCCGTTGTAAATTTTATCTTGGCATCAAGCTTGTTGGTGTCCTACTATGATCATTTTTTATATTGGTGGTGTTTTAAGTCTTACAGTATGATATTAATCCATTAAAAAACAAGGCTACGTAAAACCACCTGATTTCCAAATATCTTACTTTGCAAACTATACCTTTTCCCATTTTGCGATTTCATTAAAGGCGTCCGGCAGCAATATGGTAAAGTGTCCTCATTGTCTTTTGATCGTTTTTGAACCCAAAAATAAAAACCCATATAAGTCGTCTGCGATTTTTACCACTCGTTAAATAAATATATTCCACCACATAATACCCTGAAACCTAATTACACTGAAGCTAGTTTAATATGAGTATACTAATATCAACAGACACTTTTCAGAGACAATAGTAGGTGTTTTAAATCTCATCTATACGACATTTGGGAGACTACGATGATTGTGGTGAAGTTGGGAAACACTTGACTGCTGGGTTTAAATATTCATTTTGTTAATTACTGAACAACCATTCCTCAAATATTTAGTGTAAATCACATAATTATATCGACTTTATTCTTTTTGCTTCAAACATTTCATGGTAGTTTCAAAGTTCAAACGGTTTGCATCTGTAATTTGTGTAAGACATAAAAGTTCAGCCATTAAGATCATTTCGAAATTTTGTTCGTGGTAGCAGAATATACGAAGGATACTTTGTTCTTAACCAAAAAACACTAAGTACATTTAACACAAAGTATCATCTTACAAACAGAAAAATTAAGCATAAATGCGACTTTAGATATGGCTCGAAATCACTTACAGTCAGACAGATAACTTCGCTCCTTACCTTTACTTGGATCCAAAGGTTAAAACTCATTCTATGCATTTTATTCTTCAGATTTATGCCATAAGTTATGCCAGATTATCTGTCACTTGTGACCGACTGACTATGTAAACATAAGCGACAATCACAGATAACACCTATTTCGTTGATAGTAGTTTATAGTTACCTAGACGTCTTGTTCAGTGACCACATGGCAACTTAAACCACTTGTGACAGTTATTGAGATCTCTATCAAAAATGGAGTACATTGCTCAGTGCTTCACTTTGATGTACCACAACTGTTTATCATGGTGTTGATAGATCTGGTCTAGATATTTGTGAGGCATTTCTCTTTCCTACGTAATGGGCATTATCAAGGCCAGATAATGGATTCTGGTCAATTAAGTAGTCTGATTACATTACATTGTTCTTCAGCCATTGAATGTTATTCTAAAGCGTGGTTTGTAAGTTGCGTTAACATAGTCACGGACGGTTTCTCTTATTACGACCCAGCTATTCTTATTACTTAGTGTTTTAGACATCAATTCACTCGACAAGTCGCCGAATCAGAACACGATTGAACATGAATGAAATTATATCCCAAATAACAAGGGTAGATGGAAGTGAGTAGCACAATAAGGAGAATATTAGCATATTTATAGTTTTTACACGATATTTTAGAGTCTTCTCTAGGCATCCACTAGCGTTGCTGCTTCAGGACTGGCCTGCGTCAACACCTGAACTAAGGATAGGGAGTGAAGTAGTCGGACACTTTGATAACTTCACTTATCTTGGTGTCTGACGAAACCTCATCACGGGTTCGAAAAGCTCGTTTGGCCTTTGCCAACTTACGTCACCTATGGTGCAGGCGAGATATCAGTCTACCAATTAAGGGACGAGTATACTGCGCGGCAGTTCGTTATGTTCTACTTTACGGCTGCGAAACGTGGCAATTAAGAGTAGAACATACTCGTAAGCTACTAGCGTTTAATCACAGATGTCTTAGAAATATTGTTGGCATTTACTGTGATTATCGGGTAAGTAATAGTGAGGTTAGACGCAGGGTATTAGGGAATGATGGCAAATCAGTTGATGAAGTTGTGAATCTTCATCGACTGAGATGGTTGGGCCACGTGTTACGTATGCCTGAACACCGATTACCACGACGCGCAATGCTGACTAGTGTTGGGAATGGTTGGAAAAAAGTTAGGGGCGGCCAAGTAAAAACATGGCATCAGCGTTTGAGGGCATTAACTCCTAGTCTTAGCCATGTTGGTAGATGCTAACTACATGATTGGGGTCCTCGCGACTATCGTAACCAATGGTTGGAGACAGTTGGTGACATGGTTCAGAATCGATCACAATGGCGTCTTTGTATACACTATCTGTCTTCCTTTAAACTAAGGGATTTAAATCGCTTCGTATCTTTCTTCATACGAACTAATTCTTTCTCCCTGTACTATCTCCTTATATGCAATCTATCTTTTATATATTACCACCACTAAATTAACCACTTCTATGAATTTGGTGTTCATCTTGTTGTGCCAATGCGGCACGGCAACTTGGACCGATGCATATATGTACCTGTTCCTACATTGCAGCTGATTGACTTACTGCTGCGTTCGTATTCTGTTTGGTTATCGGTTGGAACAATGAAGACTGTACTCTAGAATAGTAGGTGTTAAGCATTGACCTTGGTCTAGACTTCAAAGTCATTGGTCCTACGGGAAATATGGGCAAGTGAGTCAGTAATCGGTCAACGTAATACAACTAATGTCATAATAAACATCATGATCACAGGGTGCTCAATACATTTTAGGAATCTGTTCTCTTTGAAGATGCAGCAGATATTAAGCTTAAGATTTCTAAACTAAATAGAACTACACCTCTGCCACTGATTTTTAGCCATTCCACCAAAGGCTTTTAACTAAAAGTGTTATGGTTATCTGAAGGATTTTAATCATGATCTCTACATTGCCATTACATGCTTCAAACCAATAGTCAATGACTTCATAGACCCAAGTTTTGCTCGTATGCAGTCCTAACAAATCAACGTGGGAATGTGAACGTACATGTACACTCCATAGACTCTAATATCAAAAATATTTTGAAAGTAATTATTTTTAAGATTGTTTAGTATAAAGGAAAAACATTCATATAGTAAACTCCTTAATGGTACGTGTATCTTGAAACCAATGACATTTAGAGTAGAACATATCATTTGTTGTAAGTTTATCTGTAACTTCAAAGAACTAGTATGCGTATAACTATGACCTTCGCTAAACTGGGCAATTTTCTATTAACTATTTGCTTCATAAAAATTTGTAACTCATTCATCATAAATAGTGTAAATATAACAAATTGTTTATTAATTAAGAGTAATTGACAATTGAATGTGTTTCATTCACACATTTCTCTTGTTTATCTTTACTCACCTTTTTAGTTATGTGCAGGTGGTATTTGGGATGGTGTTAAACAGGGACATAATGCAGCATTGGCTGCTTCTTTAGCAAGTAGATCAATACAATTTGATCGAAATGAACCGAAACCTTATGGAGACTGTTGTTAAATTATTAAATAAATATCCACTTACATTTTACACAGTTGACATATGCAGTGTGAATAATCTCTTTTTGGTGCTAATTATTGAGAAACTTGATCATTATGTTCATTAATTGCCTATGCTTAATCAACTATACATTAATTTGACTTAATTCTATCAAGAAAGCTAATATTCTTTATTTTTACTGTTTATTTTTCTTGGTAATTTTACATAATATGTATTATTGATAATCATTATTCATTATGTTTCATAAATATGTCCTATAGTTTCTCTTCACTGTTTTTTTTTCTTTCTTTCTTTCGATTCTAACAGAATCATGTATACTTTTTGATATTTTCCACCTTTCTCTTTATATGTTTTAACACATTGGTTCTTATTTTATTAATATTAGGTTCAAACTTCTTTAGTAAGTATGGGTTGTGGTTGTTGAGTATAGAGGATCTGTTGAATGAACTGTTTTAGTATTTAATCACTTTTTTTTTATTATCTGATGAATCCATTCATTTAATTTATATACTTACATAATTAATCCTGTATTTGTATTAATTTCATTTTTATCTCTCTTACAGGTTATTTTTATGTTTCATTTTTATTTTGTAAATTTTCTGATTTAATTAATCGAGATAAATGTGGTTAGTTTCATTACTTATCTTGTTGTTTTTATTTACTCTGTTAATATTTGTTGTTCAGCTTTTCTCATAACTTATAATCGAAGACATTTAAGTATACTGTACTACGTAGTAAGCTGTTATGTTACACGTTATAGCTGAAAAAGTGCAGCATTTGAAAGTAGAGATTTGTAGTTTAATTTCTTCTTACCACTGTTCCGGTATGGTGGGACAACTAAGTAAGCAATAATGAGGTTGGATGTGAGATACACTAGGTAAAAGTGGGAGATCAACTGATGCAGGTGAGTTCTCATCGGTTAAGTTGATTGAAATATATTACGTATCCAACCTACCAAACAGTGTCATGGAACTAGTCCATGAAATCATTAAATTATGGCCAGAACCTTGATCGTAGGTTTAAACTACTGAATTTGCGTTCGCACGTTATCGTGATCATTGGTTGGATGTTTCAAGTTTCTAACTGGATGGTCTTACAAGAGGGCAATAGAACGGTAGCCCAGTGGTTAAGGCGTTCGACTTTCAGTGAAAAGTCACAGATCCGAACTCTTCCACCTACTCTGGCTTCGACAACTGGGTAGTGTCAATAGCTCTTACACTCTGTGACTCGAATGCAGATACACGAATCCGTGAGCTTAATAGAATTTTACAAGAGGGCGGTATATAATTAATAAGAGTTCACTATGAATTTATTCAGTTTGTAGTGCTATGTTAAACCCACATAAATTATTCTTGCTTATAGACAGGTCAGTCTATTCATTCTCCCTCAGTCACGTTTTGACCTTGTTGATTATTCGGTTATCAACCTTGTCTGTTTTTATGTAAGCGTATGTGTGCACTTCTTATCCTATTCATCAAATGTCAGTAACTAACTCGAGTTGGCTCACACGTCTTCTCCACTGCATGTCGTCTCGCTTCATCCCTCTGATTGTCTATCCAGATCAATGAGTGTAAAAATATGTATTCAAAAATCATCATCGTATTTGACTTATTTAATTCCGTTATTCACTAGCGTGATTCAAGTCGATGATTATATTCGAGTATTGGCGACGGTAGGACTCTAATTTATGGACGAGCCAATCAGAGGCGTTTGAGGAAGTTCAAGGTCACAGCGCTAAGTTCGATTCGAGACGCTCACATTCGATAGTTTTACAGCAGATTTCAGAGAAGAGGTGATTGTTGAGCGACTATAACAGATGGGACTATTAAGAAGTTCCTGTGTCTGTGACTGCGGCAATCAAATGACTGCATCAGATGTGCAGACTACCGTGATGATATTGTATTTCGTTGTACTATATGTTGGAGAAAAAAATCTGCTCGAACTGGCACTTTCTTTGCGCGATCACAAGTACATGAATCGTTTGGGGGAGTTGGAAAGATAGTGGAAATAGATGAGACGGTAATTAGAAAGCGAAAATACAACAAAGGACGTTTTATCAAGGAAGATTGGGTAAGTAACACTTCCGTGAATATACGTGATTTTGTCGATCCAATGACGGGGGTTCATACAAACAATATTGAAGGCATGTGGTCTAGGCTGAAGTATTTTTTAAGACCCTAACACGGTTCCAGAGGACGATTATTATGCAGCCATATGGACGCGTTCCTATACCGCATGCATTATGAATTCAGAACTTCTGAACCTTTATCAAACCTTAACAAGTTCCTAAATCATGTGAAAGAAGAATATCCATTGTTTTTCATAATATATTTTTACTTTATACCAACTCTCTTCTGATTGGCTAATGTTCTCAAGGTCACTTAAACGTACGTTCAAAGGTCGTCCATAAAATAGAGTTTCACCTTGGCGACATATATTTCGACAGCAATCATTTCAATAACAATGATTTACACGATCAACCTGGAGTCAGATTAAGGGCCACTAAAAGCTATATGAAGTTATAAGTTCGTATAGTGATCACTCATTATTTCGCATAACATATGATCATTGTCATTTTATGAAAAGAATTGGATCAAAAATCGATATGACTCGAAATCACGTTAATGATTCTCAAATACCTTTCGATACTAAAATAGCACAGCTTATTTACTTTTTAACCGTGGCTATTGTAAAAGACAATATTGTATAGAAGATTTATTCATAAGGACCACAGAAGATTATTAACCTAGCAGTGGGGTTAGACAGCTTTGCTCAATCTCACCATTCATCCTAAACTTTGCTATCGTTGGTGTCCTGTAAACAGCTCTGATGGATGTAGGTAATAGTGTATTGGATCTACTACCTGGAGAAAGGCTTTTCAACCCTGAGTATGAGGATGATATAAACTTTCTTTGCCCAAGTCATGCAACCCACCCAATCAGTTGGTAATCAGTTTCCGTAGTTATGAGATTCGCTTTCCACCTTTTAAGTGTAAAATACTCTTACAAGACTTGTAGGACTCCTTAGTTGCATTCACTTTTGGCAGCGAGCAGATAGAAGTGGTCAAGAATTTCGTGTCTGTGAGTGGTGAAACGAATGATGAGATCAATTCACGTATAGTGAAACCCAGAGACGTTCATGCTAATCTGGACTATCTTTGATGACTTCATAATGTTAGTCGGGCTACAAAAGCTTGGATCTAGGAACATGGATCAGAATAGCAACCAGTGATGGTTCTGTTGTAATGTTCTTTTACTTTTTTATCAATGAGGGGAACTTCTTTGAATGAAAGAATCCTTCCTGATTGTGTTTTTCTTAACTAAAATGCTTCTTCCTCTAATGTTAATTTTTTACTCGTATTCATTTATTTCTATTCATTTTTGTCCTACTTTATTATTGCTTATCTTCCACTATTTAACTCTTTGGAATTTCATTTTTATTGTATGAGCCATAGATATTTTAGTGCCTTTTTAATAAATAAAAATAAACTATTCGAATCATTTCATTCACATACATTGGTTATTAGTGAAAAAAGATTGTCACAATGAACACAAAGTGCCCTGGATTAATAAAATAATCAAACGGATGGAAAATCATACTGAAATATTCAGTACAAATGAATATTATAGAATCAATTGTATTTGCACTAAAATGTACTATTGAAGGATAAATAATGCTGTTACTAGAAACATTAATAAAGAATGGTCCTTCATTTAAGTTCATAAACCAATGAAAATACTGGAAAATAAGGATATCTACAATACTTTTAGGTACTAAAAAATGTATCTATATAACATTATTGTTCTGAGGTAACTCAAATAGTCTTAATTTGTAATAAACACTTAAATTAGCGATCTGTAAGAATTTTTTACACCGCTCAACTTATCATTATTGAAAAATCAAAGTCTATTTTTCACCAAGTATCATGTAAACGAGTGTGTTACATCCCATCATATCTATCGGTTTAGATTCGTTTTACTAAAGCCATACAACTATGTTTTGCATCTGCTTACGATGCTCCACTGCCTTGTGGATCAGACGTTCAGGTCGAAGGCTCCGGGTGTGGTCCCCTAAGAAAACCACCTGCTTCTGTTTGGGCACCCGGGCAGTATCACAGCCCTCACACATATCCAATGAGAATTTTGTGGCGCATATGTATTTGGTACCTCCTTGTACCAATATCTATGTGTTAAAATAAATAAATAAACAACTATGTTTATAGTTACATTTTATACATAGTTATATACACACAGTTACATTTTACACATAGAAAGTTACTACCTCATTAATTATGTTGCCAATAATTATTCAGGAATATCTTCATATATTAAATAAATACATAAAGACGAGGGTTTAATTGATGAATTGCCAATGCGTCATCTTTGTAAAAATTTCTTATTCAGTCTCCTTCGGAGTGAGTTCGTTTAGCTTTGTGAATAACCTTAAATAAAGATTCTTATATAAATAGATAACCAGATATTTAAACATAGAATCACTGACTGATAATCTCCACTGTTAACCTTGTTCAGTAGTTGTAATTTAGTTGAGAGTAGTCGACAAGACATCATACACCTAGGTTTCGTGCTGTTTGTCACTCGTCAGCAAGGCATATTTGTAATCTTGAGGGAGTTGACACCCTCTGTAGGATTCGATCCCATATAATTCAGCTTCACTTTCAGAGGCTCTGCCCATGAACTATTCGAGCAGAGTTTGACCTGATGTGTTTCTGAGATGTATTGCAATTAGTTGATCACAAAATAATGACCCATCGACTACCTTCAATAAACTTATGTCTCAACATAGTGAACGAGATTTTGAGTCAGTTAAACTAGTGAATATATTACAACTTGATTGATGGAATTCGATCAGTACTGGAAGGAACCTGGTATACATAACACTGATCACTACTTATTAAACAATCACTTGTTAACATTAGGTAATATTACAATATTTTGTTTGGAAATAGGACGCTTAACGCTACCAACATAAAATACTCCGAG